AGCATGAAATGGAAACATCATTGTCCAGAACGGTGAATATAAAGGTAACACAGAGTCCAAATCGTGATGTTTTCTTTTGATTCAGCTGAATCTTCTCTCCAGTGCAGCAGGCTCTGATGCTTTACCTTTGGAAGTTCTTATATGAAGATACAGTGTAATGTTTGCATTTGGATGTTTGTTTTTGCTTTAAGAGAATGATCGTGCACTTCTGCCCGCTCGGTTCAAACACGCTGCCAGCTCTGTAGTTAACTTGTACCCAGAGAACGACAGCAGCGGCTAGTCCTGGTATGTGTGTTTATGAGACATGGTTTACCCAGTTAGAATGATTTGATCTGGATTTGGTGACTAGAACTAGTGAACACCAGTTGTAACATAAGAAGATCTGCTACTTTTCCTTTTCTCCTCTGAGTGGCTCTTTTAGTCTTGTAACTGTTCTTAAGCATCACGCCGCTGTGAGTGGGAGAAATGATCCGCAGGAGGCATACAGTAATGGTAGGCAACAGTTGGCCTGTGGTCAGTGAAGGTGCACCCTGAGATTTTTACGTTCCCCAGATTTTTTAAGAGAGTTCGTTCCCTGGGGGTGCATGTTTTCTTGGTCCTTGTCCCTCATCTCTTCGTTTCATGTGTAGTTTCCACCTACAAATGGAGAGAAAGACACACCAATGGGGCTAATCGGTCTTGTGGACCCCTCTTTCTGACTCTGGTACTTAATGCTCAAGGGGGATCTTTTTTCTCCAGAGACCTGTCAGATAGATACATCTCTCCCTTTATTGTTTTACTTGGCTGCATTCCCCTAAGTGTGTACAAGATGTAAGGTACAGAAACTCATCATGGTTCTAGAATTTTAGTTTGTTTTGAAGTCCTAGTGTGTTTTCCGACCTTGATTGCTCAGATTCGTAATCTCCCCTCTGGGCTATATAAATGTCCAATTTTGAGCTCTCGTGGAAGACACAAAGTAAATAAGATGATTTTGTTTAGTTAAAACAATTTTAAAACAAAGGGAAACTTTATATATACAGTCTCAAAAATCCCAGACCTCGGGACATTTGTAATAGAAATCTGCCCAGTAATTATCATTTTTTAAGAATTCTGGCAGACACTTAAATTTTACCAGCTGCAAGGTGAATAAAACATTGAGTTTCTTGGCTAGCGTTAGAGTATATTAGTCAGTGTGGTAATACTAGTTCTCATGCTCATCAAAAAAAAAAAAAAAAAAAAAAAAAAAAAAAGAAAAAACCTGATTCACAATTAAATATTTATTTGGCAGATTAAATGTTTGAAAATGAACTTCACTTGATGAATGCTGTTTGGTAGATTACAAGCTTTCAAAATAAGGACTCTGGGAGGAGACGTCTGGTAGCAGCTAAGTCTTCAGAGCTCCCAGCAGCCATGATAGACGTCACGTGAAAGGGTGCTGTGGGGCTCTGGACCACTTTGTTGCGCTGTGCTGAGGCCTGTTTTAGTGCACATCTTGGGTCATAAATGGCAGGATTCATGAGTGGAAAGGCAGGCATTGGGACTGTTTTCAGGTCATTTTAATGTCGGATGTAATTTTTAAAATATGTTTATGGTTTTCTTATCGTGGCATAAAACTGTGTGTGTGTGTGAGAGAGAGAGGGAGACAGATTGTGGTTTGCTGGGGGGGCAGTCAGAGAAAGCATGCAGTGTGCATTAGGCATTATTATGTAACATTAGAAAGTTAAATGGTTAAATGTTAATGGTTAAAGAGCCAGTGTGACTCTTAAGTGATAAGTGTGTGGGGACAAGTATTTTACATACATAAATTGAGTATAAGAATCACTCCTCTGGGAGGGGAGACGCCTTGACTTAATGGAAAGAGCTTTGTGACTTTAAGTAAATCGCCTTCTTTCTCTGGTCAAGCCTCCAGATAAAAGGGGTGGGGGGAATGAAGAAGATAATGAACAATAAGTCTTTTAAGGTTGCTTTGGCCTCTTCAAAGGTGTGATTCTAATTTACTTCTGTGTTTCCAATGCACAAGTTTTGAAAAAAAAGAAAAAAAAAACAAAGTCAAGCAACCTTAATTTCATTATTTTGCAAGTGGCTTCTTCTTAAATGTTGATTAAATGCTAAACATTAATGTTAAATGTGATACTATGTTATTCTAGTCCAGGTCTAACAAATCAAGATAGAGTCAAGATAAATTTTGAAGATCCAAATGATATTCATTCAATACCCAGGTATAATCTCTTTATTGTTAAAATGTGTATAAAGTGGCTCATAATGACCATCAGTATGACGGTTATTCCACCCCTGGGTCATGATGAACATAAGCTGGTGTGTGAGGAAAACACAGATCATGAGGGTGAAAAAAAAACCAAAAACACTTCTGGTGTCATGAGACATCCAGTAATACCTGTGAAGTCACTTTTGAGTTTCTGGGGAAACTCAAATGAGGGAATCATGAAGATTAGGGTCACCTAGGCAGTCGTTAACCAAAACAGCTGTTTTTGCTGACAGTGAGTTTATTAGGCTGGAACCATTTGCTTAAATCAGGAACGACAATGAAAGCAGTGTCAGGGCTGAAAGATGTCGGGGACAATTACACAAAGAAGACCGGGTTCATGGGAACAGGGGTAAAAGGAAGTGGTCCATTTTGGGCGAGGCTGCCTCATGAACCCGATCCCCCCCCCGGCTCCTGACTGTGGCTCCCCCAGGCCTTCCCAGCCCACAGTCTTTGCTGCCTTGTTTTGAACCCATTTTACGGCATCAAACGTACGATGAGACACTGTGTTTTGCAACTTGTCTGAGTCTGCCATTTTGAATGGAGCCAATTTTCACATAAGTAGCGATGCTAATTACTAGTCCTGTCCAAATTTAGAGGAACTTCCAGAGCTTTTTAAAACCTATTCAGATTATAGGCCTCATTTAAGCCGTGCAAGCAAGAATTACAGTAGTAACTTCTAACATGTAGAAGCAGAGGCCTCAAAGCTTGACAGGCTTCTGGGTCCAACTACAGAAATATTACTGTTTCTAACAGAAATTGCATTGTTGCTAACAGAAGTGTAGTTTACTTTTATGTTTACGGTACCGCTTGACTTCATTAAAAAAAAATAAGATCATTAAAATGCTATCTCTGAATGGCTCTGAATGGCTGAGCATTTTGGATGCCCAGTGCTGGTTATAGCAGGAAGGCCTTGACGGCAACCCTGTGGACAGAGACTGAACTTTAAAATTGCCAGTGGACGCCGAGTCTGTGCCACACTCTTCTGGGCACTGGGGCAGATGTAAAGCTCGAGTGCTCTGTGTTGTTGCCCTCAGTGCCTCCAATCAGGGTCTGGACGAGGAGACTTTGGAGTCCTGGTAAAATCTAGAACCCAGGCAGGTGTATTGGAATGTTGTTTATACCTGAGTGCATGCCGCTACTCCCCTCCCTTGGCCCTTGGGAGTACACGTTAGCACTTTCAGGAGTTTGGTTAAGTCTCCTGTATCCTATCAGCCAAGGGGCCTGGGTCGGAGAGGTTCCTTTTTAGCAGACATTTACCAAGGTCATTAGTGGAGGGATCCAGCCAGTTCACCTTTCAGCCCCACACGCTGTGCTAAAGACATTACTCTGAGCCTCTCGGTATTGAATTGCATGAGTCCCTCCCTTTGCTTTTATGTAAGCCTCCTGCATTTGTGGAGCTTGACCGGTCATGAATCAAAGCTCAGCTCCCTGCAGTGTTGGCCCCTGCAGTGGGCAAAGAGGCTTCAGATGGCCTTCTGGTCCCATTTTGATTTCCTCCTGTGTGTGGTTGAGCTGAGCTGGGAATGTTCCCATGGTGGGGTCCACGGTTTTCAGGAGGGAGCTTAGAGACCCAGCTACCTGCCTGATTACTTTGGGCGGGTTAGGAGTGAAGACACCTCTCCCATCCTGGCTTTTAAAATTTTGCTTCTGGTAGATGCCATTGCATTAGAGATGGTCTGACTTAAAGGTTTCCCCCAACCCCTTCTATTTTAAACTGTGGCAGAGAAAGGGAACATAATTGTCTGTTGGCCCCAGACATCCCCCTGGTAGTTCTCCAGCATCTTGCAGAAATTGGGGTTATCTGGGCTTTGTGCAGGAGATTTCTGCACAGAGCCTTCAGTATTGTTCGAGGCAGTAACACATCACTGAACAAATTGCCCCCTTGCATATGCTAATCCTGTACTTAAAAGGACTCATTGTATCATGTTCTGATGCTTTAGCCTGAGGGGAGATGGGAATTGAAGGGATGTCAGAACGTGTCATGTGACCCCCAAAGACCCAAAATGCCTGTTTTCTTTGGGTCAACAGATCGTACTCAGCACATGGGAATGAAAGTATCCTGTGTGGTTGGTAGAAAAGATTAGTCCTTGTTCCTGCTTTTGTGTGCGGGAGCTGGCCCCGCTGTTGAAGATCACTGGCTGAACTACTCACTTTGGGTCTTGAATTTTAGTGCTATTGGCGAGGAACACTAAATCTTATTTTCAACAGTAAATTAAAAGAATTCAGAAGAGTTCCTTCATTGTTGCTGTGGAAAATGTGATTTGCCTTTTAGGGAGCCATGCTGTTAATCCCACCTGCTCTCTGTGTGTATTTTTCGAGGGGCACACACTGACAGCTGCAGTCACAAAATACACCTGGTAGAATAATCTCAGGTTCTGCTTCTAGGCCATTTGTATTCCCGACCAGGAAACTGCAGTGGGAAAGAATAAAAACATATCCACATGTAAACAGCAAGCTCCCATTTCTCTAATAGTAAAAAGAACGGAGGAGCATTTTAAGTGAGTCGAGCCTGAAGGATCCACCAGGCTCTGGAAGGTTTCGTTGCATAGTCAGGGTCTTCCTTTCAAGTGCTTAAACCTCTATAAATGTTTGCCATCAAAGTCTTCAGATGAGATGAATTACATGGAATGAAAGGCAGTGTAGGTATCACCTTTCTGAAACAGCTGTCACATCCTGGTTTGGGTTTTCATGTGTACAGAGAGATCTGGGAAGGAATCTTTGATTTTTTTTTTTTTTTTTTTTTTTTGTCTTGCAGAGTAATTCCCTCTTGGTCCCAGACAGTCTAAGGGGCACCGATAAACGCAGAAACGGGCCTGAATTTTCCAATGACATCAAAAAAAGAAAGGTGGATGATAAGGACTCCAGCCACTATGTAAGTAAATAAAGCACCTGAAACAGTATTTGTTTGCTTAGTTGCTCACATTCTAAGTGAGCATACAAGCATGCTCCAAGATCTTAGTGATAATTCCACATCCTTTAAAATAATACTAGCAGGGGCGCCTGGGTGGCTCAGGGGTTTAAAGCCTCTGCCTTCGGCTTAGGTCATGATCGCAGGGTCCTGGGCTCTCTGCTCAGTGGGGATCCTGCTTCTCTCCCCCCCCCCCCCCCCGCCTGCCTCTCTGCCTACTTGTGATCTCTGTCTGTCAAATAAATAAATAAAATCTTTTAAAAATAAATAAATAATAGTAGCAAGAGGATAGATTCTTATAAGGGTAGTATTTCCCTCTAGAGCTGTAAACTGTGTGGTTCCAGGCACATGATTATATTTTTAGGCTTCCTAAGTTCCTCATAAGAGGGGATACCAACATGTGGGGCCTATGCTTTGCACAGCGCCCTGCTCTTCATGGGACCTTGCCCCTGGTTTGATGCTCTGTTCTCACCGTCTTCAAATTCTCCGTTTTTGAACCAAGGCCTGCATTTTCATCTGTCCTGGGCCCTGCAAAGTTGGTAGCCTGTGCTGCTAAAATAATCAGGGTAAAAACACTGGTGTCACAAAATACCTTTTTTGGATGCTCTTCTGTTGACTTATTCAGGCTCCTATTTGGTCTTGAGGCAGAGTTCATTCTCTAGAACTGCAAGCAGTTTGGTCACATAAGTCCGTGGTAAAAACAGAAAAAACCTTGGAGGCATCTAGATCAGACCCTGCAGATTGAGAATGCGTGACTGTGAAGGGACGGCTCTTGACTCCCATCTAGCTGGAACCTTATTTCACGAGGAGAACAAACCAAGCCAAGTGGCAACTGGCTCTAGTCTGAGTGTCATAAACATTGCAGCTGATAGACGTCTTGGAGTTTTCTTTTGTATCCCCAGGTGTGTCTATTTCATGATGGACACATTGTCAGGACCCGTATGAGTAAAACACGGGATGAGCCCACTTCCCATTGCTTATGGAAGAAGCGTCCACTTCTGGCGCGCCGGCAGGTCTATGAGATGGGGGTTAACATGCGAGACCTCTCTGCCTCCTGGTGGCTGGTTAGCCCATAGCTAACAATAGCTAGTATTTCCTGAGCAAGAGCTTGTCCATGCCATGTACCTTGTGCTTTTACGTGGATTGTTTCATTTGACTCTTAAAACTGTCAGTTTGGTACCATACCTCCACTGTAGTTCAAGAAACCGAAGCCCGGGGTTTGTAAGTGATTTGCCCAAGTTCAGGGTTAGTGGTGGAGCCTGGAGGCAGTCTGACTCCAGAATCCATGCTCTTCATCACTATGCCAGGACCCCCAAACTGAGGGCCTTGGAGAGGTATTCTTTTTTTTTTTTTTTTTTAAACGATTTTATTTATTTATTTATTTATTTATTTATTTATTTGAGAGATAATGTTAGCCAGAGAGAGCAGAGGCAGGCTCCTTGCTCACGGGGCTCAATCCTGCAACCCTGGGATCCTGATCTGAGCCAAAGGCAAACGCCTAACAGACTGAGCCACCCAGGCGCCCCTTGGAGAGGGTATTTTGCCAGAGGTCCTTGTATTGTTCCACACTGTGTACTATGATAATGTTCTAAGAATTTGGATTTGTAGGTTCTCTCCATCCTAGCCCAAGCCTTTGCAGCACATATTGTTTGCCCCTTGCCATTTCCCATAGCCGGTTTCCCCTGCAGGTACTTTTATATATGGCATCAATTCTTAATAAGCTAGTCTGAAGGTCCATGACATGCAGAAATTGGGAAACTGCCGGTAATACAGTTTTTGAGTTGTTGTGCATGAGGCTCGTGTAGATTTTGGGTAGTGAGTGATTTGGAATCTGTAGCTCTGCATTACTGTTTTATAACCTGCTCATATGAAGTGTGCCTGGATATATAGGTAGTTCAGGGCAATGTACTGAAATAATGTTGGAGAATCTGGGGCGAAGTCCTCAGACCTCAGCTCTTGATGACCAGGCTACACTGGACTGTGAAGGTTCACATTTGCAGAAGGGTCCAAAGCTAAGATTGAAATTACAGACTACATAAAAACTCACTTCATAGCCCATTGTAATAAAATGAGTTGTTTGCTTCTTTTTGTCAGTTTGTATACTATGTGAACCTTTTAATAATTTTTTTTTTTTTTCCTAAGAGAGAAAACCTTTTGGCTTGTATTTTTTTCACCACCACCATCTTTGGGTTCTTTTTTTTTTTTTTTTTTTTTTTAAAGATTTTATTTATTTATTTATTTGTCAGAGAGAGAGAGAGAGAGAGAGCGAGCGAGCACAAGCAGGGGGGACAGCAAATGGAGAGGGAGAAGCAGACTCCCTGTTGAGCAGGGAACTCGATGCAGGACTCAGTCCCAGGATCTGGGATCATGACCTGAGCCGAAGGCAGACGCTAACCCACTGAGCCACCCAGGCGCCCCTGTCTTTGTGTTCTCAACACCTGAAAACATTTGTACTTTTCTGTGGTCTTTACTAACAGAAAAAGAAAATCTTCTTTATTTTTATTTTTTTCTTTTATTACATGAAAATGTTTCTTTCAGCAGGTTGTTATTTTGAGTTACCCAGGTTTCCTCATTGGTTTTAATTTTATGTTGTTATAGTGAATTGCATGGTGCCTTAACAACAGTGATTAAAGTAAATCTAGTAACATACTATTGAAGAAAGTAAATTGGGTCTTCCACATGTAAAACTCCAGGTACAGTTAGAAAAAAACATGTAAAAGATAAGGATTTAAAGTTGAGGGTAACTTTCTAGCTGGACTTGGATGCCCCCCAGAAAGCCAACATGGTTAATATTTGCTCTTGTACTTATTAGTACAAATTTTTAAATATTCGTATATTTGTAATTGACAGTGACTCAGTAAAAGGATTGTATTGGTCAGAAATTAGTGACCCAGTCCTTTTGGAGAATTAGGTGAGAGCCTACTTTTTTCATAGGCTTATTGTATCTCTGTACTCAAGGACAGGAGGCCTTTTGGCTAAGAAAGTAGACTTTTTCAGTCTGCTCTAAACTTGATGTAGGAGTGAGCACACAGTTAAATAGCTTTTCTGAAGCTTTTTCAAACTTAGGACAACCTTGCAGTTTCCTGCATTAGCAAATGGTATAGCTTTATGAAGAGGACTATAGGCCCTACTGCAGGATGCTAGTGCCTTCCAGATTTTGCCATCCTGTGTTCTTCCCTCTCTCCTAAAATATTCCATGCTGATTGCAAAAGATTTTTATTCTTAACATGAGGTTAGATCTTGGTACCTTATTCCAACCAAGTAGATAGCTTTGTTGTTTTGGTGTTTAGTGTTCCTTTTTTTTCCTTTCAAGAATTAATGACCCCATGGGAACATGGTTGAAGTTTGTCTTTATAATTGCAAAGTGTCTGTGAACACTAGATTTGTTACCTATCCTCAAGATGATACACACAAAGGAATGGCATGAAATCGTGTTCTTAATTTGATATCCAGTGGGAAAAGAGCCCTGATAGGAGGCCATGGGAGGATTTCAGATTATAGGAGAGATGCCCCTGTTGCAAACATTTATTGAGCTCTTACTCTGTACCCGGTGTTTGCAACTGGCCCTCACCCGAACGATCTTTAGCAGGTATGCTACTGTAACAGTTCCTACCTGTGGCTTTGGGTAGCCCCCATGTCAGGTAAGGAGGGGAAGGCAGTATTAATGAGTAGGCCTGGGAATCTGGAAGGGAACCTGTAGGCATGTCCTGGGCCATTTTTCAGTGTGTCTGCTACCAAGAACTATAGAAATGTAACTGGGCCTTCAACCCTTTAATAAATGGCATTAACATCTCTTTTTCCAGGATAGCGATGGTGACAAAAGCGATGACAACTTAGTTGTGGATGTGTCTAATGAGGTAACCACTCATTTTCTCAAACTTTATTTTCAGAGTGACTTATGAGAAACCAAGTGGAGCCATGGTATTTTGGTTTTTCTCAACTTTGCACATTAAAAACTTAGTGGTGTTCACAGATGGAGCAGTAGTGGTCTGACAAGAACTTTTGTTTCCTTTTTAAAAGAAATCTGTTTTCCCAGTCATTTCGGATTCCTAAGTTGGGTGCCTGGTGCTCCTTTCCTTCCTGTGTCCTCTGAGCAAAGTATTTGAGCATGAGGATGCATCAGATCATTCCTGGATGTCTTTTCCTCTGTGCTGTCTTTACAGGTGTGTGTGCAAACACCATCCTGTGTAATTATAATAACATTGCTAGTCAGGGGGCACACTCCCAAGTCCCCCAGATCTGAAGGACTTAGAGTGTCCTCCTTTAATTTAGAGAATTAGTATGGAAATAGAGTCCATAAAGGGCAAGGTCCATCCATTATAAATGAAATCACACAAGCTTTGCTTATACTTGTCGAGGACCCTTCTTCTCCGCGAGCAAGCCCCACCCATTCACCCAGGGAAAACGGGATTGACAAAAACCGCCTGCTGAAGAAAGATGCTTCCAGCAGCCCAGCATCCACGGCCTCTTCGGGAAGCTCCACTTCTTTGAAGTCCAAAGAAATGAGCTTGGTAGGTCTCATGAGCTGTCACTTTGCCTGTGTAGCAGTGTGTTTCTCTCTGCAGTTCAGAGGACCCTAAAGTATTTGAAATGTGGGCTTTTATAGAGTGAGAGGTATATTTTTAAGTGTTTAAAAGTGAGATGGTGACTCCTGCTTCTTGTCCCACACAGTGTTTTCTTTCTTCCTCTCGGTAATGTCTTTTGGTAATGTCCTTAGAGAGAGACAGCAAGCTTCCATGTTCGTTGCTTTCTTATTTCGGGGATGTGCAACCTCATAGGAAGTTGGAAGTCCTGAGTTCACCTTCTTTTAGACAGACCCTCTGTGTCGGGGTGTGTTGGGTTTGGTGTCAGAATGGGGATGTACTCAAGGAGCCCCCAGAGAAGCCTGGAACAGGTGCAGGGAGGTGGAGCCTCCTAGTCTGCTTGCAGCCATTCAACAAATAGTGGGGAGCATGTCATCTCGTAACTCACAAAAACCTGAGCCGTAAGAGTCCTGCATTTGATTCTTATACAGCCTTCCTAGGCATTATCCCACTTCACCGATGGGGCAGAAAGCCTGTGGAGCTTGCCAAGTTTAAACTGCCCATCAGGACCAAGGGAGCTGAGGTCTCTCCCTAGCCCCATGCATGCTGTTTGCTGCTCACAGTGCTCCTCATTCTGGAATTTAAAGGGGTAAAAGGTTGAGGTGCAGATCATGGTGCCCTAGGACCCTGTTATGTCCCACTCCTGAAGGCCTTTGTGCTAGTGGGGCCACATCCATTATATAGCAAGTGGGTGGCGGTGCTTAAGTCCACACACGTCTCTCAAATGGGTGGGAATCCTTCTAGGGCATTTGCCTTTGAGATATTGGTTGGTTTCTCATCAGATCCACAGCCCTGCTGCTTCTCACTCTTAGTCGCAATCCCACTGCCACTAAAAGGCAAGGGTAGAAAAGGGATCCTCCCTCTGACATTCTTGGTGACCCAGCCATTTGTTTCTGAGTGAGTGGGAATTTTTCACTGGGTGGTCATCGTTCTAACTTGGCCTGGATCCAAAGTCCACACGCCTGATGGAAAAATACTTTTTAAAATAAAATCTGCGGAGGACGAAGTGTGATCATGTTCTGTGTCTCTAGCTAGAGTTTTAATTCTGGCAGGAAGAGGAAAGGTCAACATTTCTCGCTCACAAGTTAATGCTGTCAACATTGTGTGGATTTATGAAAATTGGCTGAGGGAGTAGCTAGAAGGTGCCCAGTGTCCCAGCTGCTGTTGTGATAAATTGTGTAATATGGCTTGGATTAAAAATAATACTCATTTAATTTGTTTAATGATACCAGCATGAAAAAGCCAGCACGCCTGTTCTGAAATCCAGCACACCGACGCCTCGGAGCGACATGCCAACGCCGGGCACCAGTGCCACTCCAGGACTCCGTCCAGGCCTCGGCAAGCCTCCAGCCATGGACCCCCTCGTTAACCAAGCGGGTAGAGCCTCACCTCTCGTGTTTTGTTTTGTTTTTCCCTTTCCCGGCTTGACTTGTCGTCTGTGCACTCCTGACGCCATTTCCCCATGAATATGAAACGCACTCGACTGCCTGCCTCCTTCCCATCCCTGAAAAGCCGTGATAAGAAACAGATGTTTGTCCTTAGGTTCAGCAGCTGCACCCTGTTTGGTCTCCGACTGTTTACATTTGGCTTTCTCCCCCCCCCCCAAATATTCCAAATCCTAGGGACTTAATAAAGTTTCTGATAATTATTCCCCACATAAGCTCCTTACCAAATCATCACCGCGTGTCTGAGTTCGCTAATACTGATCGAAACGCCGGCCCAAGTGTGTTTCTTGCTTACTTGAGTTGGATGGTTTTTCTCCTGGTCCATCCCTCAGGAATCCGTGGTCTCTCTGTCAGTAGAAATTGGGAGGGTTTCACAGAGACTCCAGCCCGTGAATCAGTTGGTAACTTCTAACTTTATCTTCCTTAACACCTTGGGCCCAGAGGAAAATAGGCCCCAGAATATTCCTCCTAAACCCAGGCTTTGGTTTAGGTAGTAAACCCAGGGTCAGGTTTTCATTTGGAATTGGCAGCAGGGAATGGAACGTTTAGACTGAAGGAGACATCCTGGATTTTATCAAAACCTTCTTTTAAGATGAAATCAGGTAAACAGTGCACTGTGCCTCTGTTTGCCTTCTGTGAATTGGGTACAGTACTGCTCTTTAATTTTAATTGTCCGGTTTCCCAGTGCTGCCAAGCCAAGGATGAAGCACGTGGGCAGTGCTTCCCTGGGGTCTGTTCTTCCCTGGAGATGAATCGGGCTGAGTTGGTGGTGATGAAACCACCTACACCCCTACACCCACACACACCCTCATGCAAGCCTTCCTCATGAATGGCCCTAACACGTATGTACACACACACCCCAACTACCCCCAACCCACTTTGCCTTACTGAAGCCCTCCTTGTCCTCACCCCTCCTGAATGGTGCTAGAGTGACTCAGAAACTAATGGTCAGGTTGGACCATGTCACGTCACACGGCTTGTGCTTACTTTCAGCGGCGGGCCTGAGGACGCCGCTGGCGGTGCCTGGGCCATACCCCGCCCCGTTCGGGATGGTGCCCCATGCCGGCATGAACGGCGAGCTGACCAGCCCCGGCGCCGCCTACGCCAGCCTGCACAACATGTCCCCGCAGATGAGTGCAGCCGCCGCCGCCGCCGCCGTGGTGGCCTATGGGCGCTCCCCAATGGTAGGTGTCGTGGGCAGGCTGGCGGGCAGGCCAGGGCCGGGACCCCCAACCAATGGGGCCTGCAAAACAGAGCCCCAGTGTCCCCGCGCTCCGCCCGCTGCCATCAGCGTGCTCCTGCGTTAAGTTAGGAAGCAGCGCTTCTTGGTTTACTATTTTCGTGGATGAAACAAGGCAGTGTTTAGGAGCTACTTTGGCAGTTCGGGGGACATCTGGTTTTCTCCTCCCAAATAGACTTTTTTTTTTTTTTTTTTTTTTTGGAAGGCGATGGAATGACTCAAGTAGCTCACAGAAGCCTTTTCATTCATTTTCTTGAGGGTTTTTTTATCCCCCCTCTTTAATTCTTAGGAAAAAAATATTTGAGAAGCTGTAACGTTTTCTTTCCATGCCTCTATTATTCTTTAAACCAACAGTGTGACTCAGGTGTAAGCAGTGATTTCGGGCAACAGTGAGGAAACAGAGGTGACTGAACCCTGGGGCAGCTTGCCCATCTTGCCCAGCCTTGTAAATAGCCTCATTTTTCACTGGAAAGATACAAAACTGTATGCAAAGGGCAAAATCGACTGTAACCCTCGATTGCATCAGGGAAAGGAAACAGATGATATCCTGTAGCAAATAGAAGTCCCTATAGATTTCTCTTGGCTCTTTAGAATAGGTTATGTTTGGTTTTCTCCTCTCCTCTCTTCAGATGGCATGACCTCCGGTAGTTTGGGCTGACAGTGAAGTTTGTAGGGTTTTTTCCCTTATGTTGTACTAGTAAGAAAGGCTGTGCATTGGGGGCAAGATAGTTTGAAACAAAGTGGGCAGCTAAGGGACAAGATACCTTTGTTAGGGTACACAGAATAGGGAATCCATGCATGTTTAAGCAGTAACTTAGATCAGTGGTATGAAATTGGGGACGATTTTGTTCCCCCAGGGACGTTTGGTAATATATGGAGACACTTTCGATTATCAGAAGTGGGGAATGCTATTGGTACTTAGAGTGTAGAAGCCAGGGGTGTTGCTAACTATCCCAAGACAGCCAGAAACAACTGCCTGGCTCAAAACACTGATAGTGCCAAGGTCTAGAAATCCTGACTCAGACAGCACACTGTTCTCTGTACTTGCTTGGGCAAGGCAGGACATCCTGAGTCCACAGGAAGTAATTACTATGGGAAGCTGGTTCTCAGTGCACAAACAGACCACACTCCCACTGACCTCCCCAGAAAAGAGCGTGGCCTGTTGTAGTTACAGGTGGTTATAGTACTCCTTGAGTTGTAATTTTTTTTTTTTTTTTTTTGAAAAATGTTAGCATGTGTTACCTTTCCTGTTTATGTTGCTTTGGAGATGTGGGAGTTTCTAGTGAAAAGTCTTTATATATGTTCACCAAGTGCGTACTCTGCATAAACTGAGCCTTCGGTGTCTTATTTTTGTTTCCAGGTTGGGTTTGATCCTCCCCCTCACATGCGAGTACCTACCATCCCTCCAAACCTGGCAGGAATCCCTGGGGGGAAACCGTAAGTACCTCTAACTCCTCAGTTTTGTTTTAAAGGCAATTACTTCGTCATGGCTATTAGCAGACTAGAATTCCAAAGGGAGCACAGGCATGGACGTTTCCAAGGAGATTTCTAGTGTCTTTTCCTGAGGAGTGTTAACACTTTCTATAAATAGGCACCTTGTAGGTGTCATGCCTCTGTCTTCTCACTATGGGTGATCTCATGCATTTAGTTATTTCTGGAGAGAAGCTGTTGTAGACGGGGGCCAGGAGGGAGGCAAGAATGGGGGGAGGTTGGCCCTCCTCGCTTGACCCTTCTTCAGAAGTCTACTCTGCTGTGCCTTTGGTCAGAGGGTAGCTGCTGGAGGTTTTCAACAGGACTGTGCTGTGGGCAATGGTTATGCTCTCATGAACTCTTGAAATCTCTGAAATTTGAAACATGTCAACCCCTTACCTGTCTCAGTGCTACCTTTTCCTTGTTTAGGTGGGAACTTGAGTTGTACGAAAGGTAGTTGTAGCATCTGTTGGATGCCAGCATTGGAGGTTGGAACCTCCCTGCATACCGCACCCCCCGTCCCCAATAAAGTTTGGTGCGTGCTTTACTCTAAGAGATCCAAGATTACAAAACGCAGCGTGGCTTTGTGGGAAAGCATGAAAGAAAGATTAAAGGGGCAAAAGAGCATTCAGAATTTGAAAAACCCCATTGGTTATTCTTCTGGGGTCACTTAAAATCACTTGCTTTCCATATGTTCGTAATTAGAAATGAGATTTTGAAGAATTCCTAAAGTCCTTAATTTTCGTACAAAGCAAAAGTGAAATATGGGGGGGGTGGGGGGTGTCTGGCTTACTTCCCAGCACATACTCTCCTCTTCCATAGGGCCTTCTACAATTTTGATTTTTCCAAATAAGGGTACATGTCATAGGCCTTCAGTTTATTTTTCTTATACTCTCTGCCTTTGTGTGGTTGCTCTCAGCTTTTACTTATGCGTCCACTGTGTGTTGCATGCTACGTTATTTTGAGTGGTCCATTCGACTACCTGGTCATCTTTGTGTGATTTGGATTGGAGTCTTTCTTCAAATAGACCAGCAGCATGAGGAAAAGTGGAATTCCTTATTCCGTTATCTGCTTTTTGGAAGCAGGCTCTACTTTACATGCATGATAATATCTATTTCATGGTAATTTGATGCATGAAGAAAGGAAACTTTTTCTGTGCTAAGAACTCGTAGAGATATTAAGAATTTACAGTGACATCTAGGCCCAGGGAAGAGCAGGATTGGGGGTGGGACAGTGTTACAAATGCTTTCTTACCTGGTGGATCTCTTCTGATTGAGTAACCTCATATTTTCCTGGGTCTGCCCTTCTGCATCCAGTCTTGGATGCCTCCGGGCACTTAGTGGATATTTCTAATCTGTGGTCTCTGGCAGTCTAGCTGTTGTGTTGTCCTACAGACTGGTGAGTAGATAAAGGGCAAATGAGTAATGTGATAAGAGGCAATAATTAATAGTAACTGATGAATCTTCAGGGATATAATAAGCAAATAATGCCAAGTTCAGCTGACCATTAGGGAAATCTAGTTTCAAGAGTTGGAGGTGTGGGGGTATGTCTGGCTGTCAAGACCCTATCCTGAATGTGAGGTGTGTGGCAGATGGGGTGGGTGGGGAGAGCTATGAGCTATTGTTATGGTCTTGAAGGTGCAGAGGACCATTAACTCAGACCTAGCTCCTTATAGTTGTGTTTGTGTGTATGTGTGTGTACGTATGTGTGTGTGAATAATGCAATTAGACACAAAGTTGAAGTCTTCTCTGAATGATAGGACTGGTGTCATGCTTATTAGAGCCAAAATACTCAATGGTTTGGCTTGTGAGCACCTTGGATTTCTTTGTATTCACAGCTGTGTTAAGCTAGGACACGACGTGCTCAGGGACATGACAGTGGCGCAGCAGCAAAGTTGTGAGAGAGTCACATAGGAGGGTGAGTCTCTGGATCAGAGTGATCACTACTCTCCAAAACAGTGAAAATAATATTTTTTAGGATTCTCTTTTAAGTTTGAGGGGAGCCATGTAATGTGAGAAAGATCAAGTTAATATGAGAAGGGGAAAATGGAGTTCACCATTATCTCTGGGATCTGGGCTATACATCTTACTTCCTTTGTTTTAATCCATTAATTAGTATGAGAGGGCTTCCTGTCCTCATTGTGGAGGAAAGTAATACTCCCTGAGGCATTGCTTCTCAAAGCATCTATGATGATCAGTTTTTCTCCAATGCGACCAAGATCGGTACTCTTGTAACAGACAAATACAGATGAATAGGAGAAGAAAGATATACAGTATAAGTCCGAGGTTTGGTTTTGTGTGTGTGTGGGGGGGGGGTTGTTTGTTTTGCAGAGGGGTTGTTGTGTTTTGTTTTTTAGATTTTACTTATTTGAGAGAGAGTGAGAGCGCATGCAGAGAAAGATGGAGAAAGAACAGGAGCTGGGTCAGGGGCGGGCAAAGGAAAAGCAGGCTCCCCACTGAGCAGGGAGCCCGATGTGGGGCTTGATCACAGCTGAGCCACCCAGGCGCCCGGTCCCAGTTTTTGATTACAACAGTCAGCTGTCATGAGTTGGCTCTGTCGAGTTGCTGTGTAACCGTTTTCAACACTTCTGTTCCTGAGTGAGCTGATCTCCATGTGGATGGTAGCAAATGTTTGCAGACCACACTTTGAATAGCTTTGGTCTGAGACACTTAAGAGAAATGGTGACAAACCAACATGGCCAGGGTAAGGGTGAGTGAGGTGTGGTAAAGGTTTGCAAATGTCAGCCTCTGACAAATACCAATCAAAGTAATATTTGGGTAGGGCGACAGCTGGTTACTCATGGACATTTGAGCAAGAATTATGTGTCAGGCTTTGTGCTAGACGCTGAGCAGGCTCCAGGAAAGAGAATGTTCATCTTCCCTGCCTTCCGGGGGCCTGCGGATGTGGAAAAGTTACAAGTGCTGGAGTATGTTTGTGAGGCGCTGTGAAGGCAGAGCAGCGGGTGGCAGGCAAATCTGTAAGGAGTGACGACGGTTAGGATGGGAAGGGCTTCCTCGGGGTGAGGAGGAGACACTGAAAGCTAAGCATGTGCAGAAGGAACAAGCCCAAAGAGCAGAGGGGGCAGAAGCAGTGGACCATTGCAGGTAGAGGGGACAGCCTGCCACATGGTCCCAGTACAGGGGAGCTTGAGGGATTCCTGTGCACATGGAAGAGTTCCTTCTGGGCAGTAGAGCCAGGAGAGTTCCAGTGGGGCTGGAAGGATCTGGAGAGGACCTCTAGTGTAAGTGCTCATCTGTGGTTCAAGTTTCCCACGCTCGCCTCACCAAGCAGCTGCATGCCTCTGCCCAAGCATGTCTGGTGATGGGACCTTGCTGGTGCCTGGAGCACCTTGTAATGTCCTGGGACACTTTTCACAACTTGACCTTGAGTTACTATCATGTGCACATATCCGATTTCTACCTGCCTCTTCCCTATGGGAACTGAAGCATGTGAAGGCCCTCTGTCCCCTTGAGCACAAATACCCAGTAAACAAATATCTGGTGCATTGAGGAGGTGGGAGATGAGTCCGGGATTGTGCAAGACTGTGACTCATCCTTTCCAAAGATTCACATTCTGCATTTTAGAGTTCAGCACTGCTGATTTATAAGAGGTCACCCCAACTGTGTTTTTAAACCCTCGAGGCGAGATTTAATTGGTATTGTTTGCTCAGCTTCTCTTGAACTCACTTTTAGTTTTAGGAAATGTGTTCCCCTGAGCCTTGTGGAGATCCTGGTAAGAGAAATTCTGAAGTTTAGTTAGGTCAACATCTCTTTGCTGTGCCTCACTCCGCCCTTCCCCACCCCAAGACGGCGTTTTGGCCCCGAAGTACCACTTTCCTTTCCATCCATGCTTGGAGGCTGTGCCCTTCCTGCCTCGAGTAGTAGCACCTAGAGGTCAGTAATAACTCAGACTAATAATAGTTTGGCTTAAGATCCAGCTTCGTTCCAGGTTCCTTCACCCTGTGTTTTAATGCTAGACATGTAATTGAGAAATCTTACACCCACTCGTTTACTGTTTAAATAAATCTTTAAAGTGCCTTTTTGGAGTTGGATCCTAAAGAGAAAAGAAAATCTTAAGTACATATGGGGTAAAATTGCCTCTTAGGAAAACATGTTTTGCAGCAGTGAAGAGCGGCCATTCCGTCTTCTAGCCAAGAAGACATTTCCGTGGTCAACCCCTGCCCCCACTCCCCATCCCATTTTCCAGTCCTGATCTTGCTTCTGGTTCCTCTGTTGACCATGTCTAGAATCCACAGTTGGCTTATTTAGTGGATTTGAAACTTAATTCAGCCCTCTTTTCACTGGTTTTGGTATTTGGGTGTTTTTAGTCTATTAAACGCCAAAAGTAACATGCTTGTTTTATGTCTCATTATCACATATGGGTTTGGGTTTAATTTCTGTTTTTCTACTCTTTGATCTTCTGGGAATGTGTAGCTGATTTCTTGAGAATATATTGAAATGGAAAGCCCTTTATTTTGATGTGAGTTATGTTTAGCTACTAGAGATTTGACCTCCCTGTACATCTCTCTGTCCTTCTTCCCCTTCTCAGAAACCCCTTTCAGTTTATCAGATGTAAGTGTACTTTGCTTCTTTCTTGCTCACATAATGTTTGTTTGCCTGTACTGGTTGGTTCTTTTGCTAGAATTTTCAAATTGAGCTTTGAAAGGGCTGTATTTTAAACTTTCCTTTGTTTTACTTTTTATCCATTAATCTCTCCGGTTTCAATCTTTGTCCTGCGTGGGGGCCTTGTTGCTGCCCAGCACAAGCCTTTATTTTTTTAAAGATTTTTATTTATGAGAGAGAGAGCACGAGTAGGGACAGAGGGAGCCTGACAGGGGACTCGATCCTAGGACCCCAGATCATGACCTGACCCAGAGGCAGACACGACCAACTGAGTCACCCAGGTGCCCCACAGGTTTTCAGACATTTAGTTGGTAGAGGAAGTAGGGCCTAGAATTCAGAATCATA